TGATCTCTTAGAGCATTTTATGATGGGAGGGGTGAAGATGCTCTCTCATCCTCATACTCTTTCTCCGCAGTGATGATTTTTGGATACAAAATAGACCAGAGAGTTGGAAAATAGAAATGAGATAGTGTTAGAGATGCTTTGGGCTAGACTTCATGTTTCTAGGGCCAAGGCATTGCATAAAAGTAAAAATCAAGTGTATCGGGTTGGAAAGGCATCATGGACGACAGTTGCGGTTCTTTCATCGAATTAAAAGTTTTCTATCGCCATTTGGTTTTTAGTAAAAAAAAATACTACTACTGAATGCCGCACACAAACCGATTTTTGAAGGGCTTGTTAAAAGAGTAAAAGGGTTAATAAGGTCTACAACATAATTTGGGCCCTCAGAGCTACGCCCAAACTCTCTCCTAGCTCATGTCTGTGTCGCCACTTCCTGGCCATCTTTCCAAGTTATTCTCGCCATTGAGAAAGCAGAGAAGCCCCATTTTTTCAAGTTTTCCTAATTTTTCACTCTTTTAATCGAAATAAAAGTACTTGTTCTTTAAGTGTGACAACAACTCGCTAAGCCGTGGCATCACGACGTCGTAAGCCGTTACGAAAAAGTTGGGGATTAGTAAAAGTCGCCCTGATTCAACGAAGCTTTACTAATCCTCCCATGTCGTCGCTCACTGCAAATTTAGCCATCTAATCAGATACCTTTTGCTGTACGACGTTTTCATACGGGCGTAAAAATACGTTAAATAACTAGGAAGAGGTGTTATACTCTTCTCAAGGGATAAAAGGGTGTCGAGTAAATATCACCACGTTGTCAACACTGCAGTGCCCAGGTCACCTCTGACGAGGTTACAAAGTGTGGATGCACGGAAGTAGTCCTATTGCACACCACAACTGGCCTCCGTGACACCAGTGTGGAGGTCTAATTGTAGGTGGCCGAAAGAACCCGCGAAATCTACCAGGTGATAGGGGCAATAAGTTTGTTTTGTTTGGCAGTTTCATCATTAAATGTATCGTAAATCCACTTCAGTCTTCTAATCATACCTACATTACTTCTTGGCCATCTGAGAGTTGATTTGTGCCCTTTTATCAACTTGGTATTAGGGAGAGGAAGGGGGAGAAAGGAAATGAACTCAATGCTGGCTACTGCCCCGAATTGCCAACCAGTCCGCATTGTTCCATTTTTAACATTAATATGCATTCACGCTCACTGTTGAAATGGGAGAATGGAGGGTGAAGTAGAGTACACATTTATAGTCGGAGAAACACTTAGGTGGTTATTACTTTAGTAAATGTCCGACGCCAAAAGCCCGATCTTCGCAACTGAGTGTTCCTTGGCTCTGACCGCTCTCTTGCTCTGACAGACACCAAACCTTCGAACCTGCACCGCTATTGTCACGACACAAGGGATCGACCAAACAAAACACTGAACAGGGCTGATGAACGTGATTTGATGACACTATTCGATGGTGCGTGTTTTGGCTGTCGCTTCTGTTGGACTTGGAAGGCTGCACCATCACTTATTTTCTATTAACAATCTGTAAGATGAGTGTTGTGGTAGCGTTATCTCCGATGGTACTAGAATTTGTCACATTAATCAATCACGGAGGTGGTGGAGTGGAGGAAGGCTTGAGTGTGGGTGGCACGAAGAGAACCCTGTTTCCCATTGATGTGATGTGTGAGTCTATTTATGCGGGATTGGAAATGCCCACGCAAACACACGTCCTTCCTTCTGTTGCCTTTCCCATGAAGTGTGTTAGTCGTGACACTTTGAGTGACTGCTACAAGAACACTTTCAACCACCACGATGGTAAATGATTAAGTTGGAATTGAGTGCGATGAAGTGGCAACGTCTGATGGTAGTGGTGCAGCTTGTCTATTTTGATAGGGTTGCGCCTGTCAAGTCTTTTGTTTGCACTGTGATTGTCAATTGCTATTCTGAGAGACAAGTACCTTAAAGTAAGATGAATTTGGATGCGAGCGTTAAATGAGGCACAGCTCTTCATAACTTCGTCCAGATGTCACGCCTTCTTCCTAATTTGTTGCCCTTTTTAGCACTACCTAATCGTCTCTACTCTGGCTGCACCGTGCTCTAATATCATACGAAAGCTAGGAGATGATCAGTTAAAAAGTATCATTTAATCGTTTTGAATAGGCATAATTACCTATCGGAAGTACAAAGCTCATGGCAAAACGGTAATCGCGCTATCCCCTTAAAAGCAAAGATTCTTCCTTCTTTCTTTTCCGCCTTGTGAGCGATTTAAATACACTTCAACCGCGCAGAGCATTCAAGTCAAAGAAGACTTCGCATTTTGTTGCTTTACAAAGACATACGGCTATGTTGCTACTATACAGCGCATTACAAGGCGGCAATTATGTCGTAGACCAGGTCACACACTGTTGGCCAGGAGGACTGGCATCAGTGATAGGTGCTACCATTCATTCAACAGGGTGAACTGACGAGCCAAGTTTCTTGTCAACGGAGGTAAGAAACATCGCATCAAACGGTCGTTCCTATCAACATTCAGGCAGCACACTGAAAGTCTATCTGATCCCAGACGTCTGATCAACCCATAATCTGTTGTATAAAGAAGGTGTAAAAAGACGTCTCTTTTTTAGAAATGGTGAACACAGCCATTTAGAAAAGTTAGCTACTTCGAAAAACCAAAGCAGGCTGGGTGCTAAGACAGCTTTACGTTTTTGATCTGTACAGAAGAGTTGAAGGTGTATTTTGGCATGAACAGGATAGCTCGCTAAAAGTGGCAAAGCTTAACTATACAATTTCACCTCAAGGGTCAGAACTTCAGCACCGATGAGGAGATGTACCAGGCTACCATATGGTATTTCATCTGCAATGACAAAAGGTGCATATTTGTCATGGCAGGGGAAATACGTCGTAAATTAAATGTGGTTTTGATTCCTTAAACCCTGACCACTACTCTCATAAGTATTTAGAAGGGTCTGAAACAGCACTGAAAATACGGGGTAGAATTTCCACATCCGTTACAGTTCACTAATATTAAGCTCTTCACACCAACTCTATCCCATCTCCTCTAGTCCTCCATGGAATATTGTGACCAATTAAAGACGATTCCAAAAGTGAATTTTACATAACTATTCTGCAAGAAGGAAGTCGTCAAGTTCATCTCCATCCTTTTGAGGAGGTGGAGATAAATGAGGGGTATGCAGACAAAGCAAGCGAAAGAGTTCACTCAAACACAATATATTTGGTAATGCAAGAGCTTTTCGCCGCAGGATCACAATTTTGTAACAGGAAGAGGCTATGTCAAAAATGGGGAAAAAAGTACTGCAGGAAAAGCCCTAACAAAGTCCCTTTTGCCCACATTTTTGGCTTTAAAGGCTTGAACAATGTTGTCAGTGAATGGGGTGCTTTAGATTCGTAGGGATAAAGTCTTCCTCAAAGTGTCGGTTAATTTTTTTTGCTTAAAACTAACCCAGTCTACAATCCCACAAAGTTGCTTTTCTCTGTAGGTTTAGTGGATTAGGCGAGGCTTTCAAATTAAATCGATACCTTTCAATTTAAAAGGTACAAGGTAGTATAATTTTCAAGGAGTGTGACCTGCATTGGTTTTTCCACGCAAAATCATACTGCATCCAGACAAACATCTGAAAAGCAGCTTTGTGGTAGGGAGATTTGCCTATACAATTGAACCATCTCAGAACAGCAGACCTGTCATGGTATGGAGTGTGCTAACTTTTAAAATCGGAAAGGCTTGCGAAAGACAGTGCTATGTTCACCATTCGACGGACGCTTATAGGTTGGCTAGGCGTCCGGGATATGAAGTGCCTTCTACATGCCGGTCGAATGTTCACCAGAACAACTCTCAAGACTGTGGCTGAGGAACAAAAGTACCACGGCCGTGATCGTCCACCACACTACTGTGCTTGCAGTCGTCTGTTGATACGAGTAGGCATCTACAGATTAGATGGTACACCTTTGTCCACAAAAAGCTTCGCCGCTGTTGCATGCACTCATACATCTCGTGGATTGCAGCGACACTAGTCAAATCATAGCCATTAACAGCTTTTTGTCACCTATCAAAGTCACCCAAATGGCTTTGTGTATTTTCAGTTGGGACAAGAAAGAGTAAAGGGGAAAAACGTCTGGGCAACCTGCTAAATCGTCTCTGACACAATCCCTGCCGTTAAAAAAAATGGATAAGAAATTAGTTACAAGCATTTGGTATTCTCTTTGATTCATTATCCACTGGCTAGACATAATTCATGAGCATGATTAGGTAATGCTTTCAGACCAGAAAGTCATCCTGTCGACGATGAAGCCGCTACCCGGAGGCCTTCTCCTGGTATGTCAAAAGGCTTTGTTACTATTTCATAGTAAACATGATTAATTACAATTAATCTTATATGATTCACTACAAGTTTTCCTTGCTTGCACGAACTGACTTTGCATATTCGAAATCTCGGTGAGCGGGAACCAAAAAATTGTGGATTCGCGATTACCCACAGCATCAAAGCGTAATAATATTCTGTAGGAAAAAGAAGATCTTATTTTACCAGTCATGAATGAATGTAAAGTAAAGGAAGGTAAGTATCATGCGCAAATAATCCTTTAACTTGGGAACTGCTTTGATGTAGACGCTTAAAATGGTGGAAAAAACAAGAGCGCTTTCCTTACTTTCCAAAACCTAACTGCATGTTTTTGGGTGCTTCTTCCTTTTCGTAGTAATTTTGAAGGCAATTTGAGAAAATCAGAAGCTTTTAACCCTGGGATGACGTAAACTAGTTTCTTCCGGTTGGTGGATCCCTGCTTTGACGGTTCGATTGCATCAAAAAATTGTCCAGTTCTCCCATAACAATGGATCAAGCATCGAAAACAATCTGTTAGACGACTGCACTCATACTGTAACATCGACGGTTACTTAGGCAATGGACTGATACGGTGCAGTGAATATGACGGACCCAACAGATCCACAGCCTCTTCAACTGTTGTTCTTCTGCTTACAAGACCTAATATCCGAACTCCCTCGCTATTCCCCGTGACTGCAAATGTAGATGACTGGACGTTCGGAGCAACTTACGTTCATCAGATCAATGCAATCACCTTCAAACTCCTCGGGGCTTTCAGAGAAGAAAACTACTCCCATGTCGAGGGAAGTAGCTTTGCGTTCCAATCACCCCTTCTATTCACAATGCTTAGCATATGGAAGAAATACAAGGGGTACTTCTTTCACTGCTAATAGATCATTATTGTTGGAATACTATTTAAACCTGAGCTATATCCCATTAGTACCCATCCCATATGCTCTGAAGTAGTTCATGTTGCAGATAGTCCAGTTGTAAAGTTCAAATCATCTGTTGGGAAAAAAACTGCATTCGGAGGTAGTAAACTTAACATTTGACTCAAAACAGACCCATAAAGGAAAGTTAAGGTTAAACTTTAGAGAAATTATGTAATCCCGCATCTAGACACCATTCAGTATGTTATCGGACTGAAGTGCTTTACATTCCCCATCCCAAAATTCACTGCAATATGGTTAGACTATGGCTAAACTATTAGATCGTGCACCATCTAAATCTGTGCTGAATATACTTGATTAGTCTCCATAGTTGTCCACCTTAGCCACCGCCCAGACTACCTGCTATCCGCCAGAATAGAACTTCTCATTCCACCTTGATTTCCAATTGTCCGTAATGGTACATTGATTCCAAGACGGACCGCACGTTCAGGATTGTTTAAACGACTCAGGCAAAACTTTTGAAAGGATTCAAAAAATTAGTTTCATGGTAGAGCAATTAAGGAGACTTATAAACATACAAATTTAGTTAGCCTAGCTTTTGCCGACATCGCACAGTATCAACTCACCGACAAAAATCCCAGCGCTAGAACCTCTCCAGAGGGAAGGCTCGCAAAAGACTCGATCCACGAGAGGTGGGATGGTTTCAGTACCTGATCTAGTAGCTGTAAACCAATTTTGGAACCACCCTCAGTGATGAGAATTCGCCATCTTCGCACCCTTCCATGTTGACGTCCAGCTGTCAGAACGATAGCCTGGTGAAGAATTGTGATAGAGGTCACACCCTCTCTCCCATGGCAGTGTTCAAGAGACCATGTGGGTTGAATTACTGTTGAATTCTAGAAATTCAAGGGAAGAAAAACAACAGAGAGTAGTATATGTACCTATAAAACTCAAAGTATTCTCACCCTATTATATTTGCCTTTGGAACGGTGAAGACAAGAACAGAGGGTCAATTAAATGATCATATCTGGATGTTGTAAAACCATATTTTCTTAACAAATTGGTTGTCCATTTGGATTAGGCTAACAGTTTTGAACCGGAGGTTGGCATGGTCACAAGTCTTGGCATAGCACAATGTGATTGCGTGCAGAAGGTGCCAGGAACAGCTCAAAAGCGTCCGCATTGGCGTGATGGTGATGAAGCACTGCGGATGTCCAGTTGAACACATCAAGAATGGAATTAACGCCTACATGTGTTCGCAGAGACAGAAGAATACCGGTTGTGAAGATTACAAGAATTGTCGGATTTATCATTGTCTTAATTTAGGGTAGGAAAGTAGATTACAAAGAAACTGCTGACAGAAAAGTACTAACACAACTTCCATGAACATTTACGCTTTCCAATAGGAAGGTGATTCAACAATCACAATAGCAAGGCTTGTGTCAGTCAAGAATGCTTTCTCAAAACCTATCGGGAATGCGAAATAAATGGCATGTTTTAAACTCTCAATAGTAACTAAACAATCACTTCTTTCATTTTTAAGTTAAAAATTGAATTAGCTGACACATTAGGTAGTAAATTAATCTTTTGACAGCTTGTCTGAATTATTTACTAACCACAAACTCCTCGAAGGTGGGATACGCTACGAGGATGGTTACGGTTGTGGTGTCTATTTAGAAGTACCCAATCCATGGGAATTCTGCTACAAATAAGTTGCCAGCCTTACTGAAAGAATTTATAGCAATATTTTACCATTTTTATAATGCGACTATAAACATCAGGCCAAACACTTTTCTTTCCCGAAGGATCCAGAGTTTTGCAAGAAGCCTAAAGTGACGCGCCTCTATCAATACAAGTAAGAAGAGAGGTGACAAATATAGAGGAAGATAAGGTAGACAAGTTCCAAAGACATGTGAATTATGCTAATTTCAAAAGGTTTATTTGAGGACACACCACACTGCTTCCTTAGCCCTTGCACTAAGCGTGCATTCCTCTTTAACACACTCGCTACCAGTGTCACCTATTTTTGACACCCCAATTTATTTGTCCACGGGTTTAGGCAAAGCTTGAGGCTACTCCACCTTCTCTGATTGACAAAAGCTTTTTATAAAATAACAAAGAAAGTGATCAAAAGTAAGAATAGATTCCTGCAATTATTTGACAAGCAGCAGTAGCTTTTGAATCGCCGTATTCAATCCAATTAGTGACAAGGATATTTTCAAGAACGGGGGCAAAAGCTACAATGCGGATGGCTGCTCCGGCAGCCAGCCAGGTCCCTATGGCATGGTGTGGCTTTTGTTTTTCCGCATCCTAAGACCACATCTGAAAGTGGACACAAGCAAGTTGGCTACGTCCAGAAAACATTATAAACACTAGAACCGAGGCGAAGTAAGACATCCATACGTTTAAGCTTTAAATCCGTTTTGGGAAAAGGAAACGATTTGTAAAAACAATAGGTTTCAGCATACCCATGGGCAAATTACAATAGCTATATCCGTTCAAGGACGATTCCTGCCACAAGGTCAGAAAGAGGGCATAATTGAAGCCGTAAAAGGAATGACGCCTATAGGGAGAGATTGACACAATTACCCCTTTAATCCTTTCTGCATTTATTACTTCACCTAGGGTGCAAAGGTCTGGCAAATATGGTGACTATGTTTTCAATTCTCGTTACAAGTAGTGTCCAATTCAAACGTGTGCCTATAATTTGACAGGTTTGTGGTAAAAAAAGGATGCCTATGTAATGACAAGCAAGCATTTATGACAGATGGCAGTTCGTGTACAGCCAATAGAGGTGGCATGCATGAACTAGCATGTCATAATATGGAAAGTCCCTTGGCCACGAAGGCGTGAAATCCACCGAAGCTTACTTTATATCTACGGGAGAAGTGAAGCATTCTGGCTCTAAATGGTTCAGCCGTACTAATAAGGCCTTCTATATCGAAGGTTTCCCAGAAGTGTTAGTCAAACGCTTCGATAGATGGTATAAGGGGACCATTATTACACATTATTAGGGGCCCCAAGTCCCGATTTGACCCAAACCATCCTTGTTTTGTGACAAGCAATTCACCTACCGAGTCAGAAGGAAGATTATAAAGAGAAATTCCACCGACTCGAGTTCCAATAATAATGCAACGCAACGGAATGGGCTCCTGGCTTGTCCAACTAGCTGCGCAGGTAGTCCAAGCCAATTCGTCGCGCTGAGAGTGAGTGAAATTGCGTTCGAGATATAGGGCCCTGTGAAACAGCCCATTACTGCTTGCCACATTGTTCAGACCAATGTACACCTAAACGTGGATAACAGTGCAACAGTAATATTCTAAAGAACGAAAGAAAGAATTCCATTCCCGCATAAATCCCACTTTTATTGTCTACCTCTACTACTTCACTGTCCATCCCCTTTAATTTATCTTGGGGCGTTGCAAGACGGAGGATAGCCGTCTAATGGGTACAATAAAGCATATATTGTACCTACTAAAAAGCTCTTTCCCTTTTTATAGGCCAAGCAAATAACTAGCTTTGTTACTTTATACACTGATGCAGCTGGGAATCATTGTTACAAAATTACATCCACCTTAAACGACTAACATTTAAAAAGTGGATGTGTGGAAGATTGAACTACTCATTTCGTAAAGATAAAATGAGGATTTAAATCACAATTTTATCTGGAAGATATTAGCAGTTAAGAACTGAGTTCGAGAGTGGCCTTTCATTCATTAAAGTGCCTCTGCAAAAATTGACCTCATAAATAATGAATCAGAAGAAAAAAACGAAAATATGATGTCGCAAAAAGGAGCTACGAGGGGCGTGCAACAATTTAACACTGGAGTGGAAGAAATGAATAACTTCCAGTAAGGGAGTCAGGGAGATAAAATATTAAAAAGTGCATTGCAAATACATAAAAACTGACCATAGGCATGTTTGCTAAGAGGGTCTCAGAGGGCAATCAATCATCACGTCCCAGGCGTTTTATTGGCACAATAATGGCACCGAGTGACATTAATCTTGTTGACCAAACCAAAAAAGTATCCTTAGAACAAGGATATATTGCTTTCATTGTACTCAATCACACAGTTTGCGACATTCGATTTAGTGCAAGCAGATACCTGTCATATGATGACTGGAAACACACGTCACATATGTGTAACGCCAAGCTTAGGCAAACAAATATTTATGTAAAATTGGAATAACAAAAGCAGCAAGTGAAGTTGTGAATATTTTTGATGCCACCAAGCCAAAATATTGCTTCTAAATGAGATTTGCGGTGTCATTAGTTCAAATACTCGCATGTGAAAAGGTAGACAAGGGCATATTCTGACATTTAAATGCACTTTCATACATTATAATGAGGACTTGTTACTCGGTCCTACTTTCATCTGTTACAATTTATCGCCCATGGTATTGCGTTTAATTTACCCCAAAGGAAATAAAAAGGATATTTTGTTTAAAAATAACATCAAAGTAGGCGCCCAATATACAAACAGTAAACTTCGCTGCGTTTCTTTTTTCCATAAGTTCGTGCTAATTTTTTAGAACAAAGATGAAATTAGCCGAAGAATGAGTCTCGAAATGGAAAATTTAGTCAGCAAAATAATCCTCATTACAACTTATCCTCCCCTTCTCCACTTTTACAGGGTTTTATTGACTCTAGAATTAAACAACCTGGCCAATTCCATTTCTATAACTTTTCAACTGTCTTTACATAAAGTGGGCCTTACAATCTGAAGAAAGAATAGAGAGCTTACAGAGGGACAAGGCTGTCTTTGTAAATCAGACAAGCTCAAATTGCATCAACTCCATCCAACCGACATTTTATGATGATTCAAAACAGTGGGAAAATGATACAGAGCACGAAAAAGAGTACAAATGACTGACTGATGTATATCAAAGCTTTATGGCGCCCATAAAAAATTGTGTGCAAGGTTAATAGCCTTCAAAAATCCCAACATATCATTTCAGTTGGCAATACCGACATTTGTGAGGAAGTAGGAAAAAGGAATAGTGAGGACTTCTGACTAATCCTTTTAAGCTGAAACGATGATAAGAAGAAATGAGGAAGCGTAATTACCCCTTTGTAGACCCAAAGCCTAGTACATTTTTAATAATAATGTACTAATACAAAAGTCATGCAAACGATAATTTAACCTGGTTTGTGTGTGTGTGTATGCGTTTGTGTTTACCTTAGGGTGATATTGTCAAACACTACCTACAGCGGAAATGATTTTACAGTTGAACTTTTACATTCACATCGTAATTATCTCTCTGATAAACGCATAAAACAAAACGATGTTTATTTCAACTGTAATTTAGTTGAAAAAACCCTCCAGTCCCCACAATTTCCGTTCTACCCATGCCATTAGCCTCCCAGCACCTCTCAGCGTTATGCAGAGACCTGCCTCAGCATCAGGACAAACCCAGGAGTAACACTAAGTGAATCCAATCTAAGAGAACAAAAATTCCCAAACGTCGCGCGGATAGCTTGATTATGCAAAAAAAAAATAAAACAGAGGAGCTACCTAAGCTACGCCTACTTTGGACGATCACCCTAACTTCGTGTTCGACAAAAAAAACGTCTCCATTGGGCCTGCCATGAAATAATACCTCATCCATAATCCCAGCATCCAGATGGACGGCTGGGTGGTGTTGAACTGAGCAATGATTCAACACTGGATGCACTGCGTTGAGGTAGACGTTTCGCCAAATAGCTATTGACAGATGAAATACATCCATTGCAGAGCGACAACACACCTTGATCGGTGCAAAGCTGTGACTTTTTTTATGTTGCAGTTCACAAAGGGTACGCAACTCCGGAGCCGTAGGAACCAAAGTGGCGCCTCATTCTCGACAGTCATACTTGTCATAGGCTAAACAGTGTTGATTTCAAAAATTTGAGGCGAGTCGTGCAAAAACTAAAATCCTTTTAATAGCCGAGGATTTGGTGCTTAAAATTTCGAACTTTGGAATAAAATAATCCAATTTTCAATACAAAACCCAGTCATGTAAAACAAGAGACCACTGATACTGAAACGTTTCAACAGTAATTGTAATTAAATCCTTCTTGTTTCAAACAGCTCCAAAAAAAGGTGCGCAAGTCAAGCGGCAGATTATCAACTTTATTAAACCTCAATTGTACCACAATATTTCGGCAACAGATTTCCTTTTTTTAATAGGGGATGAAGAGACAGGCACAAAACACGATTTGCTCAGCTGCAAGGGTAATGATGGTGGACGCAAATAACTAGCATCAACTACCTCTTTGTGAATGAGGCGTGCTTCAGGGAAGCAGGCATGGCAAGATTAAACATTATGTGCATATCAGCATTTATTGATGATTCCTTTCCTAAAAAATCCCTCAAATTAATGCATTTTTAATGTGCGCACTAAGCCTTCACCCTAACATGTACCAAATATAGTAATGACTGAAACTGGGAATTAATCATTACTTTGAAGACTGGATATCCTGGATTTTCTTGAGTATGTACCCGATGGGAACGCGGGTTGATGGAGTTCAGGGCATACAGGAGCTCCTTAGAATCTCATTTATAAAAAGAACAAAATTAATGCTAGCTTTTTACAAGAAATTCTCGCAGCTATAAATTTTTAAACATTGCAGCCTTTAGCTGCTACCCAGAAGCAGCTTCGGTGCAGAAGATGTGGCCAGACTAAACTACTTCGTCATCAGTGCTGAAGTGTAGATCTCTGGAGCCACTCAGTCCGCGCTCCCTTTTTAAAATTGCATGTGCATGGAAATGGAGGTTCCCATCAGTCCTGCGAAAAGATTCGACTCACAAGTAATTGTGCCACACAAGGGGACATGCGCCGATCAGGTGTCCAAGATGCGGGAAACTTTCCACGCTTTGATTGAAGGTTCACAGGCATGTCTTTTGGGGCTGCAAGCCACTATTCGGATGTCTTATTATGCCTGAACGTCTCATCACTGAACTACACTGCACTTGAAGTCTTCTGTGGAAACGAATAAAATTAATCTCGTCCATCATCACACGTTGCATACACACACAACTACTGTTTCCTGTCCTGGCGTCATGATGAAGGGTTTCCGGACAGAGCTGGTCCATGTACATGTGTGCCCACTATTAGTGATAGCACTACTGGATCCCATGACTCTGGACACACGAGATGGTATTTTAGCAGATCCCAATTAGGGTCTACCACAAATGGAAGTCAAAATGAATTGCAGATGATGGAGAGGCATGTGACAATAGCCCAATTCTCATTGGGAAAACGGGAAAGAGACAAAGAGACCAATCACCAATAATACCGGATGATCACTGTCGTAAAAAAAACTGAGACAGCTCAGCCATAATAAGTGGTGGGATTTCATTTCCGCCAGTGTAAAAATGCACACAGCTTTACACAAAAACGAATGCATAAGACAAACTTGCTTGCGATAATAAAACTCCATACGATTTTGAAAACAGTAAAAGATGAAATGGCAGAGGCAAAATGTCCTTCATCTCGTGATTTAGTAAAGAATCAGTTAGTAGCAATGGTCGAATGGAAATTTATCTTAACAATGCACTAAGTATGGATTAAATTACGCGGTCTCCTCAACCGTAATCAAAGCTTCCCGATTCCTCCACACCAGCGTGCCGCATTAGGTCTTTAGAAATGTCTGGCATGGATGGTTGAACCTGTAAGGACTCATTACAGAAAATTTGAAACAGTGTTGACTTTTGGAAAGTCCCCAATTGCAAAATGATCCCTAACGGAGCGAGTTGGGATAGTTTTAAAGTAAAAAGTTGTGTTTTAAGTATATGGACATCCTGCTCATTTCACTACAAAAGAGCCTTTCGTTATCTCTGAAATAAATCACTCTCCCATGTAGTCTGCTATGCAGAGGATGCAGCATTCAGGAATCCCACCCAGATCGACGGTAAGTGGGATTCTCCCTATCATCATTGTTCCTACCTCACTGATGATTACAAAGCCGGGAGAGACTTGACACTACCAAAACGGAGGTGACAACAGGGAGGGCCAATAAAGAAGCCATAATAGTTGTCTAAGCAAAATCTCTCACTACTCAGTCTTCATGAGTTTTAACGTCGTCTTTGGGGCAGATTTTCCCTCTGTGCAACGTAATCGCCTTAGTGAATCTTCAGACGTGGCCTTAAGGTGGTACAACCCACCCAAACATTAGTAAAACTAGCATCACTAAAGAACTATTTCACCGACTTTTAAATTGATGAAGCTAAAAACATATTTGCATCCTAAAAACATTAACAACTTTTAGGTTAATGTAGCTGAGTCGATTGAGACCGATGTTTAAAAAAGGAGGTTCAAAATTCGAACGGAGGTACAAACATTAACCACGGTATCCATTTAAAAAACCACTTATGATGTTTTCCCACAAGAATGTTTCTTAATACCCTTTTCTGTTAAATTATCGTTTTAGCTTGACGTGCCAACGCAACTGGAACGTGTGAATACTTTTCCAGCAATAAGGCAATCAAATAAATCACGTGGAACAAAAATAGTGTAGCCGCCAATCCAGTATCCGTTTGAAAAAATTTTTTGCTGGCAGGTAAAAAAGTGAAAAGGTAGATAAAAATCGGAAATGGAGCCCTTGTTAACACGCAGTAGATCTTCAATAGATTGGAGGTGGAAAGGACGTACAATGCTGTCAACTGCAGCAACAAAAGGACGAGAGGATGGGAGTATTCACAGGTGGGAATCTGTAATGACGCTCTTCAGTCGCAGTTCAATCTTTTATGTATGTTCATCATACCCTTGGAGAAAACCTGGGTACTGCATTGATGGCAATGTTTGCTAATTCATTTCACCGAAGAGGATGTTTTCTGTGGATGGTGGAATAAGTGAACTCACAAAGACAAGTTTATCGAAACCGCGTCAGCTTTCGGCAATTGGACAATCATCAGAAATGGAGTAGGATCAAATGCCAACAAATTGCGGTACATTTCCGGACCCAAAGAAGCTAAGATAAGAGATCGAAAAAGAGAGAAATGGTAAACGAAGTGGAAAGGAGGAATAAATATGGGAGGTATTTCTGCATCGCCAGTCTACATTGTGTATTTTATAACGGGCATTGCGTTTAGACAAGTGCTTCAACGAAATGTGTTCGTCCCTTCAATGCAGTTCCCGATCAGGACCACTGTTAGGCTTGACAGTCTTCCATCCTAATGGAAAATCAACTGACTATCTTAGGTCAAGGTAGAAAAGTGATTACAAGAAACGTCAGGGTCGGCAATCAAACGGAAATGCAAAAGGACGTTTCCAGTCTTCGATGATTCAGTTCACATGCTGACGGTATGGAGCTCTACCAGTGCCACCGATGCATCTAGGTTCCCGAAACCCCGTACACATAGAAACCGGTTACTTGTCAAGCCTGTATGCCTGATAGTGCCTTTAGGTAGAAGTTAAGGCTAGGGTTTATGACTAGATGCCCTACTGAACACCTCGGAGAAACTTCCCATTTTACATGAACATGATTGAAATAGAGGTAGAAAGGTTGAATCACGGGCACATGGAACTCCAATTTGATCTCTTTTAAACTTGCCCTATCAACCACCCTTATCTTCCCCTTGGACACGCCCCATCTAGTAGGGCATTGAAGGAACGTGCATAATGGGTCCTATCTACCCAACTACGCATTAAGGTACCAACTTCATCTCCTTTTGTAGGTCAAATGAACAAAAAATGAGGGTCAATGAAGGTAAAATTTGATCAAAATTTACTGATGGATGGATTTTGTTGGCAGCTAAGTTACAGATGAATAAAATGTAATAAACTTGAGCCTAAATACGAGATACGTTCAGATTACAGTACAAATTAAAGGAGTAGAAACGGTACTTGTTTTCCACACGCCTCTACTACGCCTCAACACTTCTGTCGTCTCAACCGAAATTCGCAAAGCTTTAGCTTAAAATGATTTGTCAGTGCGGCTGGACCATCCTACAACAGGCTGTTTCGCCTCATCGGTGAGAAAAGCGTGCGGCAACTTTTCAAAAGTGTAAATATTTGTGTTCACTGTTCCCACGAAAGCATTCACCACAAGTTATGGATCGACCAAGCCTTTTACGCACCGAGTCTTCGGGCTGAAAAGCACCACAGCCAGGAGGGTCATTGATAAACTGACAGATTCACGGTTTACTGTCGTCGAGATGTTTACATTCAAAGATTAGCGCTCTATCACCGTACCATGCTGTACCGCAAGTCTACCATAGACAGGAGCGTACACAGACTCGAGTTCAACGCCATCTTTGACGAGACACTCCATTCTATCACAACATAATGTTGAATACACGTACACATTACCGCTGTCTCCTGCCACTGCACCTCAATGAAGTGCGTCTGGACCGAACTGCTAGCAAAAGTAGGGCAAATTTCCCGCTATGCCTTGCTGTAGATGAGCAATTAGAGGTCGCAGCTTAACTTAAAAGCGTCTTGTCGGTCTCACAGTCATTGGACCTAAATAGAGCTACAAATCATGAGCTTGTAAATTTCTCGATGCTGTCTTAAATGTCACCTAGCATTGCGATACCCAATAGGGGTGCTAATCTTCCAACACAACAGTGAGGTAGCTTATTTGGTGAAGTAAAACAGATCGTGGAAAAAAGATTCTAGGAAAGCGGTAGCACTTAGTTGCTGGAAACTTTTTCCTCACCAAAAATATCGGTCATTTATTAAGCCAACCTAAATGAGAGCAAAGGAATATGTCCAAGTCGGATTCATTTCCCGTGAAGATATGAAAATTCCTAAGCGGAGCACTTGGTCTTCCACATGATTACATTTAAATACTTAGAGTAAAATCATTAAACAAAACACTGGGTTTTCTATTGAAGAAAAGATGGTGAGCTTCAAGAAACCTCAATAGCAGTGACACATCGATTTGTGCTTCCATTTTTTGGCATCATTCCCGAAACGACTATATGTCATCGTTAACCGACTCCGCCTAAGTTGTTCCAGTTGTCAGAAAAAAATCCCGATTCAAATTGCTCTGCACGCAAACAGCCTCATTCATTGAAGCTCAGAGGAAACTAGAGGGATGGAAAACATTGCTATCCACTCACTTGGTAACAACAAAAGCAGAAAATGCCAAAGAAAAGACAATAAAAGAATTCTATTTGTAAGACTCTTCCGCAGCGTAGTGTAATTTCGGAATGCCATTGTTCCAACTCACTTAAGTGGGAGGACTTGATTCGATGTTCCTAGCTTTTTAAGGTTATCATAGAGTGGGTTGTAGTTAGAGCGAAAGAAACACAATTTTACTCTCGTCACCATGTCAACCGCGGTAGGGCCGACTACGAGTAGCTTGAAACGCTCAAAAATTGTCTAGCAAAAAAAAAACCTCAAAAATATCTACTGATGAAAAAATATCGTTCGGTTTGCGATGCGGCGAATGCGAATGTTTGTATACGCGCCTTATTAAGCACAGATATGTGTCATTCTGTTAATACGACACTCTTGTCTGTGTTTACTCCTGTATTTCTCACATATCACCAAATATCAGTTGAGCCCAGCGGACGTGATTCAAGCCTGCTTGCTTTGCGGATCAAGTTTGATTCTGTTTCAAGCATGCAAAAGCTAGCCATTCGTCCACCCCATTGACTCGGATTTGTGATGAGAATGGTTTTTTTTGTTGCATTCTACCCCAAACTAATCATCCAATACCTAAATCACACTTCTAAGGCATGCACTAATTCATTTTCACAAGACCGTGTCTGCCTTTGTGCGGACTGTGGTGGACTTCAGACGCAACTGTTCACTATGTCTTGATCACTTGATCACCGCAAAGGTGTGGAAGAAAAAGCGCGTTGGGAGCAGTCAGGATTGATCAAGTGGTTGAAAGACCTCATAGTGCTGAAAAACGCGCCCGTGAGAAGATTCCCACTTCAGGAGGAGAGAAGGGGGTATTATCTCCTCCTCTTCCTCCCCCTTCACTTCATTCTCCGTATTCTACTAATATCTTCTCAAGCGATGGTTATCACCTTCGCTTGGTATTTAACAATTACATAATAACCTGTGAAATAGTTTAGAAATGAAGCTGAGGTAGAAAGAAGGTGACTGAGGCAATAGATTTCGCTCCTGTGGATACAACTTTTACAAAATAGGAATCCGCAACTAGTTTGTATCTTGCTAACTAAGGATTACTAATCACATTTCATTTTAGTAGGAAAAGGAACACATGAACTTGTTTGGTCACTTTGAAAACTGACGGTTGAACGAACTGCGTAAAAATTCCCGACAAGTACATCATTTTTCCCAATCTCTATTGCCCTTCCAAATCAGTGTATCAAAATGAAGAGAAGGTAAGTACGGCCTGTAGTTGAATTTCGAAAGTTATTTGAAACTTTGACCCACAAAGGAGCTTCACCATGCCACTCAACGCAAGGAGGGTGTGAGGATGGAGGAGTTGGGAAAAAGGCAGGGTAACGTGTCACCAGAAATAGAGGAGGTACAAAAGTTACCATGCTCAGACCGAACCAGTTATCCATTGCGGTTCCCAAATAGGTGACTGCTGACATAGTCAATAGGCACGCATGACATGACAAATACGACCGGTGTTCAGGTTAAACAGATACTTCCAAAAAGGTTACTATTGTGGTAGAATGTGTCCCGTTACACAATAAAGCTGGTCAAGCCGGTCAACGTGTAGTGATGAGCGAAATTAAGGAAAGTGTTGAACCTAAACCCCTTGAACAGTTACTCATACTCATAGAGACTTCAAGCAGAGTTTGTATGGCCATTAACGGCAGAAAGGCATTAAATGTAAGCGTTTTAGTGACGATTTCATCTGGAGTAGTTCCGAGCCTACCACTACAGGAGTTGCGCATGCTAGCGAGCATTCAACCACCACGTGGTACGTCTATCCGATCCTGGATGCCCAGACATGGCCACCTGTCGGTAGAGTAGATGAGTCTTTTAGTAAGAACTATAAACACGGCAGAATATTCTCATTTTCAAAAAAGTAATCCATACTGGGTACCAAGATAGGTCTCCTGTTCTAAGACGGTGCAGCTGTACTGGCAAGTCTCCCTATTTTGAAGCGCCTTTTCAAATAATAGTGTATAGACGTACCAGAAAAATAAGTAGATACAGTTTAAATCTCTTTAAACGTGTTCTTTTTTGCCTTTTATAATCCCAAAATTCGCAGTCAGGCTTGAACAACCCTAAGGCAGTGGAATTTCAAGAGATAGACTATAAGAATTCAGCAAAGTTATTGCCAACTAGGCGCACTACTTTTTATCCCCTAAGGAAATAAACCAAAAATAGAGCCTGCATGTGGCATTTTACGAGGCGGTTCAAAAAAACCAACTGCTTTCAGCTGTACGCGCATGTGCGTCAAAACTGCAGTGAAAAGTGGAGCAAAGTAGACCGTAAGGCAATGCTAAAGAGCGTTGAGGTTTTACTTCCCACCGGAGGAGGTGAATTCCCCATCTCGAGCCATAAGTAGAAGGAGGTATACATGGTTAGTATTGTGAAAATGAAAAGCCGAGAATTGTTAGGATAATAAAAGGAAGCCAGACGCATTTAATGATTAATTAGCCAGTGAGAAACCTTTGATAGCCCAAAATAAAAGAGAAGGATGAAGGTGATGCTGTTAGGTTACACTGCTAAGTGGTGATAAAAACGTGGACACTTATTCTCACCTCGGGGTTGTCATTAAATATCCTGTCAGAGCAGCTAGGTGAAGTGTGCGTGCTTGTGTGTGAAGGAGACAACATCTAAAGAAAACGAATTTGCACAAAAAATTTGTCTTACAATTTTCTGGAAGTTATATTCAAATCATTCTCGGAAATCGCTTTAAAAACTTGCAAAAAGACCTGGATTTCATGAAAGATAGCGTGACAAACGAATACTTTGATTGAGGAAAGAGGTACAACATTTCCAAAACGCATACAGAGTTGTCTAGACTGCCAAGACATTTTTTTATGCCTGTTCACACCAAAACAAAGCGCATCAGTAATGTTTTAACGGTACATCAGCACGATTCCTGAGAACAAAGATCTGCTACTGCCTTGTTGCCATTACAGCTACTTGTTGGGGAGGGACACGTGGATACAACAGTCTGTCGGGGATATCTACATCCCCAGGAAAAACATTCACGCTTTAAAGTTCTACTAATTTCGTTCAGAGTATGATGCCGCAGACATTGGAATATTTCACGATTTACAATCTCACTGAGTTCCCCCCTCTCGCCACGACTAATATGACGGTAAGGTCAAGGTCATTAGTATGGTGAATATTAGGGGATTTGGCCGAAGAAAACGGACGCGGATACCGTACTGCAGTTGAACACACGGTATCGGCATCAAGGAACGCGTTTTCCCAATGTCTTGCTTCACCAATTTCGGATCCGGTGTCTCTGCTCACCGATATATTACACCTCCACATTCAGCTTCCGTAAATGTAGCCAACCGGATATCCGGCAACTTTTACATGAGTCAAAACTACTACTGTCAGTAATCAAGCTTTAGTGCACTAAGAAACGACTCTCTATAGGGAAGTTTGTCTTCATAATGAACATGCATTCCAACGAATACCAACTCGGTACCGATGTTTTCTGTTCAGAATGCTGGTGCTATCGGATGAAAATTGGTACTAGACCGTAAGGTCAGTCACCTCATCGGGTATGTGCAATCAAATCATACGCTCAAAAAACAGGTTATTTGACACATTAACCCTCAAGGTTTCAGAAGGAACTCTGCCACCACGGCACCAACACAAGCATTACCGGACTGACCAATTCAACTGATGCTCAAAAACAGAAGAGTAATTGGCGTTAGACCGAGAGCATTCTACCAACCAATACGTTTTCGATATAAAGAATGCACATTACATATTTGAGGCGCTGGAACGTCACACATGCGTGACACCAATGGTGAATGTATTAAATTGCAAGCCAAATTGAACTCAAAACCATATTTCACTCTACCCGACAGTTTAGGATGAAGTGAAACATCCAACGACGAAAAATAATACCTCTCTGTTAGCAAAATATGAAAAAGCACGTAAGTTATTTTTAAATTTTGCACTTTTTAGAAAAAAAGAACTCCAAAATTGGTCCTGAATATCAGAGGCATTAAAAGGCCAAATAAGCATAGTACAACTTATTTCAACTCTCGTATTTTCCTTATTCAATCTGAAAGCTTTTAACTACAGTATTCTATCCCACTACCCCCATCGATAATGTAATTGTATAAAATATCAACAAACATTCACTTCCTTCCTTCATTTCCATGGTTACGACTAAATGTATGCATTTTTCTATGAATTAACTTATCTAAAGAGGCTGGAGGAGTACGCATTATAACTACGGTCTTTTGGAGTCCCTGTAAATAGACATCTATAATAGGGGTTTGCGAGAAGGTGTTCAAGCCAAATTGGGACTCCCCCACAATACTTGACACATTACACGCGATAATAAGTGGCAAGTGAGTCCTATTCCACAAATAATGCTCGCAACTGTAGAAGACATAAATACGTGAGAGACAACCGTATGTCTGTATCAGTGACCATAACTGCCATGTTGGTACTGGTCTCAAGCTACAGCCTCGGCGGTCAGGACTGATCCGACGTACGATCTGTCGTGTGATGAAAGCGGACACGAGAGGGACCCCTCCATGGGGAAGATGACTACGGCAAGATCATTTACTAACGTGTAAAAATCTAAGAAGTTAGCATGCGCTAAGTATCAAGACAGATAGGATGTACCGGAATGGTTTCGATCGTACCTCCAAAACTGTAATTCGTTAAACGTTTTTTTTATACTTCTATAAGCTCGAAAGTCACGGTTTAACTTAAACGACTTTTGTCGTGAAGATGCCTTCAAATTTACATACATTTCGTCGCTAAAAAAGTACCCAAGCACGCAACTCACCGTTACGTTGGGGAAAATTCCAACCACAATTTCACTTTCACTGATCCAGTGAATAAGGGTTATCCTTTGAAATGGAGGGAGATTCACCAGATCATGGCAAAGCAGCGTTTCGTCTATGAATATGAGAAAAGAGACTGTCACATATTAGTAGGGCTCATAAATAATCCAGAAAAGCCTCTGGGTCTGTGCCAGCGGTAGACTAGTCACAATTCCCAAAAACTCCGCAGTTGCCATGGCATTTGGAATTTTTATGTCTTAGAAGCAATTCCAGTCACAGCTATGAGTTATGTGAGAAATGGAGGCTGAGACAAGTGTGTGAGGAAAAGAGACTGAATGGGGCGCCTATAAGGTGGTGGGAAGGCTGTATTTCGCTCCTGTATTCCACACAGTTTGAGAAAAAATTTGCTAAAACATCGGGTAAAGTTCAGCTAAAAGTAAGTCTCATAAATGAGCAATGTTTTCAGCTCTTCAAAAATGGACTCGCCTCACAGAAAATTCATTCATAATCAACGTTACATATATGTGACACGTGTCCTTTATCCCCAAATCGCACCGCAAACAGAGTAATTGAATTTAAAACAAGAAAGTAAGTGTGTTATTTTGTAAAACTACGCACTCCACCTACTCCACTCAACAAAACGTGGTAGCGAATGCGCCGAGTGACTACCTGACGGACCGATTAATCATACACAGGCTACATTCCACGACTCGGCTCCAATAAATTAGTTGCAAAAAAAGGTAAGGACTAGTACCTTGCAAACAAACAGAACTACTCACCATCAATGATCTCGTAGATTCCCAAGCATCCCCATCTGCCACCAAGAGCAAATCGTCGCGAACCTCTATGAACGCCAGAAACGCAGTATCCCGGAAAAAGACGATCCTGTTTTAGACATACTCCGTCCTTGTCAACGAATTCTGCCCCTTTGGCCACCCTTTTCGATAGTGTTGGAGACAGGTACGATTGCATAGGGGTCAATTCAGCGGCCTTACCATTATCAGGCCGAAGTATAGCAATGCCGCTGGAAAACAAAGAATCGTATCTCACTATTGCATCGAGTTATTTTTTTAAGGGAAGTGAGTAATATTTCCAATGAGCAAAATAATGCAACGAAATTCATCAAGTTGCTATGTTCCAAATGGTCTAGTTCAGGTTGAGTAGATACAATCGCATCTACCACCACTACCGCAAACCGTTAACATCCGGCAAGTTTAATAGCCAACCTCCTCACCCAACGCCTCGTTCAAAGACGTTTCGAGCTGTCAGCAATGCATTGCAACTTGAGCTTGAAAAGAAAATTTGCCACCCACTATCACCTGTGGTATATAACGAGTCTCAATTACTCCACAAGAGGAAGGTTGAACATCAGGCGCTAGCCAAGATGAAGCCAACTTGATCGCGTATCAGCATCCGCACGTTCTACGGTGTCAAAAAGGGAGAGGAGGTGACCGCTGACATGCCAGTTAAACCAATGCCTCATTTTGGACACAGAAAGCTCAACATTTGGACTGACAATTACCATTGAGGAGATTTAATCATAGGAAGGCATACACTATACCTGAATAAAACTCTCACAAGTTAGACCCATTTCCAAGCTCCTTTATAGCGTCTACCCCCGTAGAGTAAAGTGGGCTCGTTTCTGCGACCGGTGATGACAAAAAGTGAGCCTTTTGCAGTGGCTGTGATACGCTTTTACCGCCATAGACCTAACTGCATTATGAGCCCGAGAAATGTCCCACGATGCGACTGACAGTGAGTTAATCTTGATATGGGCGTTTCTTTCAAAAAGAGAGGCACTTAAGTGATCAATTTGGCTAAAAGTGGAGCTTCTCATATTCCCACTTCCCCCTCACTCGAGCATCTTTAAATGGGGCTGGTGCAAACGAGTCTGTGGGTAAGGGAGTTCAAAGCAATCACTGAGGGGAGAGGAAAATTATACACCGTTTACATGAGTAGAGGAAGGCATAATTCATTATGAATAATGAAAGCAGCAACATGGAGCAAAGCAGTTTCAAGGGTTGCAGCAAGCAAAAGGCCTCCTATGTAAATTAAGAGGAAAAAAAATACTCCACACTGGCTAAATATACAGCAGATTAAGCCATTTGCATGTGACAGAGGAGGTGGAAAGTTTGCAAGTTAGGATGTTGGCTTAACATACACAAGAGGAAAGAGAAATGGGTAGTACTGATTAGGACTGATAAGACAAAGAGGAAAGAAAACCGACTTGTGACAATACGGGGGTTGTTCAAGATAAACCGGGACTTTGAATTCCCAACTGAAAGTAGACAAACTACCACGGTAAAAAATTCACTGGCACTAGTGTCTAATGGCAAAATGATGGAGGACTCAAACGTGACACAGATGGCCGTCCGTCACGTCAGCGATTCCCAGGCCGCAATCTCGGCTGTAAATATTCCATCGTCACGAAAAAAGCCTCCTTGATTCCGATTTATTTTAGTGCGTTCATCCTTTAACAACCAGTGCCATCTGGTGTCACTACGCTACTCCGTTATGAGATCCTTTGACCACACCAATGATGGATTGTCCAACAAATACAGTGATCATGCAAATAGGAACTTCAGGTGAGGTGCTGCTCTTGAAAGGATGGAGTCCAATTTCGATAAGTGCCAACAGCGTTCAGGCCAAGCGAAGACTCCAATTCGAAATATTTGTCACCGAAAGAAATACCACTTCAGCGGTACAAATCGCAATAGTAAGGTTGACCCAACCTTCCCCAAGGCAGTGTGCACCGGTACGCAATGTCACGCACTCATGAATCAAGCTTCATGTCTATAAAGACGTAAGAAATGAATCCACGGACATCCACCCGCACAAGAGACCTGAAGAACACTGAGCTTGCCAGCGTTTCGAAGACAGCCAGCCCTACGCCTACCTAAATGGCGGGCCTGGCTGTGGCATTTCCATTCTTCCACAGTTATTCCTGTTTGCATCCAGCCAGCATGTGGAATGCCTGCCTGATCCTGAACGGCCGATCAACTTATAGCATGTAGCATTTCGAAAGTGGGCAAGAGACAAAGCTATCATAAACATTCCTAACTTCGAAAAGTTAACACACACTGAGTGTAAGGATAGCTTTCCACTTTTGATCGGCACAGAAGAGTTGACTGCTGAAATGAACTAAGGTAAGCCTTCAAGAAAGACCTAGAGCTTGAGTAAACTATTTCACTCTGTAGTAAAAAATGGCTACCAAATTAGTGGAAGAATGAGGATTCACGATCACTAACTCCGATAGCAAAATGTAGCAAGACATTCTAGGACTACTCAGTCGTACTGCCAACTCTTCCAGAGCTGGAACTGCTTACCAGGTACAGTTACAAGCGAATGCACGCAGCAATGGAGTACATCAATCAACAAACAGAGTTCTTAACCCTTGACATATGTCCCTTCTTTCCATTGTTGCGACCTCAAAGGACTCGACATGACTTGAACGACCCTAGTAGAATAAATCAACTAAGTAATGACTCCATAGAGTTGAATAATAATTTCTGGATCATGACGGAATAGCCATTGGCTAGCCATGAACAAAAATCTTACACGAATATAGAGAACCAAACCTGTATTCTAGCCCCAATCTGAAAAGTTCCAATGTACTTGAATTGGACAGCAGCTACCGTGAATGGGAGATTGTATCACACTTATATTTCGCCCGATTTCATCGTCTTTAAAAGCAGAAAAAGAACCTCTTCCTCACTCATAGAACTGTGGAGGAGCGCTCAAGTCTTCTTTATCTATTACGGTCGTTAGGTGAGTGTACCAATTTACAACTAGGCGGTGGAGATTACTTTCAAACCCAAATTGAGGGTCACCCGAGGAAGAGCATATACATATCAGTTCCTTCCCACATCACCCCTCACGCACCGGAAGTGGATTATAAAAAATCCTACCACGTAGAGGGCTATCGCGAATCACAGTCCTTTCATTATAAATCCATGATAAAACATGCTCTGCAATGCATCGCAGTTCCTATTCTTCACTTATGAGCATTCCTAGGGCAAATTTTGTTCACTTTGAGGAGTAGAATCCATCCAGCCTTGAAAAACAAGGTGACGAAACAAAAAAATAAAAACTTCCCAGAAATCCCCATTCCTTGAAGTGTTTATTTATATCTAGCGATATTGCTGATGTTTTGAGGAGAGTTCACTCCACGGAAAGGGCTGACAAATTACACGTCACAGTCATATGCAATGTGTTATCTGTCAATTTATGAAAGGAAACTACTTTCACCAAATTGTCACAAGGAAGTTAGCTGAGAGTAAAACAAGAAAGGAAATGTAGGACATCCTTAATCTAAGGGTAAGTGCATTTGTTGAGTTCATAAAAATCCGCAATAATTAATAAATGCTGATACTACATTGGGACGAGAAAGCGCGCGGACCGCGATGACCAACCTTAGTCTGAGATCCTCGTAGCAGATGTCATCAATTCATTCGCTGCGAGGATAGACAGAAATGAAGATCACCTATACTCTGGAAGTGCTTAATCTTTGTACTTCCATGCAGTTCCAAGAAAATCCAGTCACACCACAAGTAAAGCCGTGGGATTGTATAAGTAACCAAATAAAGAAGGTAAATAAAGCCGTCTGTCTATTTGCGTGTCACCTGACAGTCAAGAATATGACTTTGCTTGCCATTCGTGCTAGCTGAAAACATTACTTCGCGTGGATGCAATGCTGGGATACCATATTTGCACATAATCTACCCCCATCTTCATCTTGGTTCCACCACTCCCCCTTCAATTGCACATTTCCACTTACTTTTTTCATCACCCATTGTGAAGCAGTAAAAACACATCTACACTCTATCAAATGTGCCATGACTCCATGAGAATTACAAAATCTCTATTCTGCTTTCAGACTTGAAGCTGATAACATGGAGGCATGGAAATTTCTCAAAAAGGCGTGAATATTTTCGTGTTTTAGAGGATGAATTGAAAATAAAATCACGCTTTCATTGTAGTTGAATCTTATCTGTTTAAACTACTTTTCTGTAGAAAAAATGCGTAAATTCACTCAATTTCGTTTTCTAAGTCGAATTAATAAGACTTTGTTTTCACCATCAGTAAGATAAGCAGTTTTACTCCTAAGTCTACTTTTATTAAATAAGTAGCAATGCAGACACTCGTGCATTTGAAAGGTTGTTGTATGCACATGCTTCGCGGTTGACGTTGTTATAAAACGGTCGACTTTGATACCCCAAGTTTTATTTATAGTCATGCAAAGTAGCAAAATGACTATGATTGTACGACACCTAAAGGTAAGTCTACGATTTTATAAAGTCCCCAGTTGACAACAGAACATGAAACTCGAGAAACAAACGAAAATTGAAAGAATAATTTAGAGAACAAGTATCAACAACTGCCTATTTTTAGCACATTTTTGAAGGATTATTAATATAGTGTTAAGAAATTGGAGAAAACGTACCCTGATTCAAAAATAGTAAAAATTCTTCCCTCGGGTCCAATGAAAACATCACGCAAGACTGGAGAGATCTAAGACACATACGACTTAGAAATCCGTATTCGCATACCATAACAGACTCGTTATCTAACAAAAGTGATTGTTTCTAGGAGAAATAAAAAATTAGAAAAAACAACAAGCATACCTTATCAGGGAACTGATTGAAATAAGTATCAGAGGGAAAAGAATGCTTCGCCAGTGACGAAGGTCGCTTAACTGCTGGGACATTTGTGAGGGGCTTGACACAGCCAACGAGTCCGTCTTGGAAGACACCGACTTTCTCTTCAGGTTGAGGTATTTCGATCTGATTGAGAACTAGAGCGCCGTCATTTCCACCAGTGATCTAAATAGTGATTCAGATGGATAAAAGGCATACTATTTGCATCTTAGTAGTAGCCTTGGACACACGAGTGTCCAAACCCCATATACTGCGTCCTCTGTGGACCGACCTCAAAATAATTGGTTCCAGGCTGTGGCCAGAGCTTGGCCACGGACAACAAACTAGGGAACAGTCCTTCATTTGTCAACTAGATTTATTAATCCGCACCTCACCAGCTGCAATTATACCCCAATCGTTCATTTGAACGCACCAAACACGGGACTCGAACAAAGGCATTTTTAAATTAATTGCACAAACATCAAGACGGTGAAGGATATTCCACTCTGTGAATCGTGACTGAGGGCTTCCGCATAGCTCATCGAATTGGGAAGACCATATGACAATTGACCGATCTTCTGCGGCTGATGCCAAAAGACAGGTACTGGTAAAAGAAGGTTTACACAAATCCACGGCAAAAATAATTCCCTTGCAAAAGAAAATGAGAAGATCTGACCGTACCTTTTGAATACCAAAATGTGACAAAATTGAAGTAGTTCCGAGCGATTTGCCTACAAATGACCAGACGAATATGCGACTTGAGGTTCCGCCTACGCAAATCGGTGAGTGAGCATGTCTGCACAAACAGTCGACGAAACGGGTGCAGTATAACATTGCGGAGTTCGTTATACAAACATTTTGCAAAAGATGCGCAGACAGAAATCCGGGAGTAGAAAGACTATAAATTTTTGAGGACCCACTGATAGAAACAGTGAAAAGAAAGTATCCCTCATGCTGTAAAACGTGAGCATCAAAACCGAATATTTTACCCGTTTATGCACATATGCACCGCAAATAAATTCAGTAGTTGCAAGGGAAAATAAGGTCTTTACATTCGCATCCTTCGAGATGGAAAGTATCACGCAAAGGTTATTCCCAAATACGGTGATAAATTTCAGTTCAATTTCTAGAGTGATGTCCAATTGCCGTGGCTTTCGACAAGAACATTTAACAGAACTTGGGCAACACATAATTTTGAAAATAGCCTTGTCTGGTGGAAAGCAACCTTGGGGACGGATAATGCCATTTTTTACATCACAGGTAAAAATCTTATTTTCAGTTGCTGTTAAAGCAATGAATAAAGGTACATGTACCATCATACCGAATAAGATGAGGCTGTCACAAATCCACGAGATAGTGATGATGGGTGTGTGATTCCAAATTACCATAGTATTTTAGAAGACTAGGCCACGCACACGTATGCACGCTAAAATCAACGATTAATTCGCTCCCACCAGAACCATTTACAGACATCTAGCACACAAACCAAAGATAGAACGAGAACCAGGTCAAATATTTGTTGATTAATGACACAGTATAATTACTGAAACGCTAAAAAACAAAAATGGGCTAAACAGCTACCAGAATTTGGTCTAAAAATAAGTTTAACGTAATTTTTAAAACTTGCTGAGTTGAACTTGCTCAAAAGTAAGGGTGGCTTTAGGTAAAGATAGTCAGAGTGATATAAATTCAAACGGCAAAGTCGTATTTGCGAAGTCCCTTGGTTTTACTATTTATGCATCATGTTATATTGCACGACTTCTATGGCAAAGGGGATTAACCCGGAATTTACCACCAAAAATAGTGGTGATTTGTGAGATAGCGATAGTGCTTTGTTCCGTTATATGAAAACCTAAAAGGTAGGCACTTAATACTTTAGTGAATGAAGCACTGGGCTAAGTGCAGAAATATTGGGTTTTTTTGACCCCGACATCATCAAAGCTGCAGCGTTCATTATATGTGGAAAATCTCACACGTGCCATGTGCGGTTACAGGAGTGGCTGCTTTAATCAGCCACCCATCAATAACTGATTGAGATGCCTAATTAAAAAGCCTCCCCCGTAGGACAACTCATTTTAGGTGCAAAAACATTAATCCCTGACTTTTACAGCTGGTCGTTGCTGAAGAAAATGCCTTGACCTTTATTTTACATATCCAAGGGTCAAGCAGCGGACATACATCAGAGCCTTTTTAAGGTATTTTGCAATCATTTATTTCTAAACTTACCTCCAATAGTTAATCCCTTACTGTAACCTTGAATGTGAATAACCCTTCTGCTCATTCCGGTTTTAACGACTTCGTTATAGGCCTTTGGCTTTTATTTCATGAGCGAGGAAGAGTCTTGTAAAATGTATTGGTTCCAACTCTTCTTACTTTAGACTTATTTGTGGTGATGTTTGTGGACAGTTTAAGACTCTTTACACCAGAATCAGAAGAGTGCTTGCTGCAGCTGGCTCCTTTGAGGTATTTCTATTTAGTCGATGACTCTTCAGGCCTTATTTTGCGTCGGTGACTTCTTCGGCGAAAATGGGGAAGAATTTGAAAAAATATGTGAGGATCCTTCAACAAGTGCGGTTTATTTAGGTCTTTATGCTTATTTCCAGTTCCCATCATGACATATGTTTTATGTCTTGCCACACCAACCGCTCTTCGATTTATAACCGACTTGAATGGGTGTGAATTGTGTCCGTCAATAAAATATCTTGGTACGGTGCATTTAATGTTGCCTTATAACTTCCCTTACAGGCCAACAGGGAACGTACACAACAATATCTGGACTTCGGATCGTTTACGTTAGCGTTAGTCCAAATGTTGAAGCAGATTCAGACACGTGGGTCACCGAATTTCCGTCACTTGAAGCAGACCCCTCCTTCAGTGGAGTCGACTTGTTGCTCACATGTCAATGGCCTGCATACATCGTCCCCTCAAACGACCCGCTTTCTTCCAAAGTGGCTGATCAAACCTCCCTGTGTGTCGCCCATATTGCGAAGTCTGTTAAACCACGGTACCACTTTGTTGCCACAAATGGTGTGTTTTATGAGCGCAAGCCATACAGAAATCATCGAGTTCTTCAGGAAAAGGAGAAACTCGTCACTCGATTCATTGCTTTGGCTAAGGTTGGCAACAAGGGGAATGCAAAGGTATGTTTTTTGTCCTCGGAAGGTGATATGTTTATGGAACCTTCTTTATTACTTTTCCCCGAAATGTTTTTTTAGTATTTGTATGCCCTAAAAGTCAAGCCGGTGGATAAAATGTCTCAAATCGAACTTTGCGCACAGCCCCCAGATGTGACAGACAATCCGTATTTTGATACCCTTGAAAGGACTACGGTAGCAAAACCCAAGGAGACGGTATGACTTTGTTGCAATATATAGTTGTTAATTGAAATTCAGTCATCAACCCTAGTGTATTTCGTGTTTATTATGACCCTGTAATTTGCTGTTATAAGAACTTTCCATTTCTTTATAACCGTTTTATTGGTCGTAGCAGTGTAGTACTAGCATCAAAGTGACACCGTTTTGTAGGAGGTCCAAACCGAGCAGTATTTCTACGCCACAAGCAAAAAGCGGGCCGCTGATGGCGATAACGATCGAAAACGCACAGATTGGAAGCTGAAGAAGTATGACAGTCCTCATTTCACCGAAAACACCCCCAAAGGTTGGTTGTGCTTCATTTACTTACCTAACAAGTCAACCTCAGCTTCAGTCTCCCTAGGCTCTCATTTAGGGCAATGGGATTTGCGGAAAAGCATATTGTAGTAAACAACATCTATCCCGTGTATTAGTAGTTTGCTCTAGGTGTTTTTCGTCTCCTTGTTTACCAAACTACCTACTACGTGAGATTATCTAGTCTCATCTAAAATTCTACTTTATAGGAAGGTGTATTGTAGAAACTCCGGAATATATTGTAATTCAAAATCGTATTTTAGTACCTTACCTTACTGTATGCGTAATCGCTGTCCTGTTTTGATGGGATATAAATTTAGTTCATTGCGTCGTTATCATTCATCAGCCGAATCTTGAGAAAGTGGGAGAGTAGATGTGCAGTTAGGTTGAATATCCTCCAATTAGCACATCTCTCTTCTGCCACTCAATCTAGTTCACGATGCTTGTTGGTTCTGCCTGGGCAATCCCCAAGTGGCAAAGCACCTCCTTGTTACCATAGCAACACACGCCTACCTGGCCTTGCCGCGTGGGCCTCTAGTCAAGGACCACGTACTCATTTTGACAGTGGGACACCATCAGAGCTGGTTGACCTGCTCTGAGGTTGTGCAGGCCGACATTGAGGCCTACAAAAGCAGTCTGCGGGCCATGTTCAAGGAAGAGGGCAAGGTGATGGTCACCTTTGAGCGCAACTACAAGACGCACCACTATCAGCTTCAGGTGTGGTTTCAACTTTTCTTGTCCTACTTGTAATTCAAGCAGCGAGCGCCGTCTTACGTAGTTTCCTCTAAATCAAACTCGGGTTTTCATTTGTTTCAATCGGCCTATTCAGGTCTCAGGTAGCTTTAGAGGTGGACGTTATTGGCTTTCTTTATTTGAGCCCTTCTTTATGTTCTATCAAACTTACATCCTGATCAGTTAGCCGCTTTTGTGGCCTATTGATAAAGAGCGGGAGGCAGTCTCTTTTGAAGTTACCTTTTTCCTAATTCATGAGTATTTGAAATGAATGCCCACCTTATCGCCAGAGCTACTTCTAGAGAAGGTGCTTTACTACGGCTGCACTGGAAAGGCGGACAAAGTCGGGACATGGCGAAGGCTCGTCTAGTACCACATAAAGTTCCATTTTAGTCGTCGTTTCCCGTCATCCCCGCAATCACTACCCTACTCTGGTCGTTACGAATCCCCTGAAGAAAGAAGATCGGGTTGATTTTTCGTTTCGGTAGTGGATGCTCTGGTATGCATCCATCCATCGAACCCGGAATTGGTGTTCATTTGAAGTGAATTTGGTAACACTCACAAATGTAACGTCCAGCTTATCACTAAAGGTCTTTTAAGTCGTGCAAGTTCAAAGTAGGTTTATCCTAAGTTTGCAGAAAGGAACTGTATGGGCACCGGTTCGTGAGAGACCAAGCGGGCTCTCGTCATTGCACAAGTGTCCAAAACATTCATTCGTCGTGCCATCTTCGTGGATCTTGCTTTTAAAAATCTATGATTGTCTTGTAGGTGGTGCCAGTGCCATTTGCTGTGGCAGGAGAAGTAAAGAAGGCCTTCCTCGAAATGTCCGAGAGTCTGCCCAACTCACCCTGCAAGCTGGAGCAGCTGCCCAGGTCCTCATCGATTAGTGACGTGGGTGTGCAAACACAACTCCTCTCTACACTGCGTTTTGCTTTGTTTCATCCGCATAATCTATTCTCCTTTCAGTTCTGCAAGCCAGGCATCCCCTACTTCTACGTTGAGCTTCCAACCGGTGAAAAGCTGTTTAACAAGATCGAGAGGGACCGGGTCTCCTCGTCGGATGTCAATTTCGGCCGGTATGCTGTTCAAACTAAAAAAAGAGTATCCTTAGTCTTTTTGTACCCACTTATGCTGCTGTCGGCATTTTATAACGTCATTTAAGCTAGTTGTAGGGAATGCCGCACGAACTTGGGTAGTGCGTATTTTTTGACGGTAATCATCAAGTCTACTTCATAAGGGTCACTTGAGGAACTTATAACTCACACTAAATTGCAGGAGCAACCGTCTTCCTACTAGTTATTATTTCTTCCCCTCGATTTTATCGTTCTCAGCTCAAGTAACCATAATTGACACTATTCGACTGCCTCCATGATGGTCGCGGTCCTGATTCCACACCCAAATTGCTCTGTTTTAATCCAAGTAGTTTCTTTTGCACCGTCTTGGTTACCCACGTGATCTAAAACAGTTTATGGAACTCAGTGCTGTTTAGACTTTTTACTAATTCCTTTCACTGACGTCTCCTCGTCCCCCTTCCTAGCGCCGTACTAGCCTCCGAGGCCATTTTAAATTGTCCGGAACGGGTGAACTGGCGGGAGTGTACGGAGAGCGAAGAGGTGGAGACTCAACTGGCTGCCGAAATGCGCTCCAAATTCGCCGCCTTCGATTTTACCTGAAGCGCAAGCGGTGGAGGATCTGTACAAATGCGAGTCTGTTTGTTAGATAGATTGACTGTATAAAGTCTGCTGAGTTAAAGTGCTTGTCATTTTACTTGTCATGTCCCCTTACTTGCCTGGTAGTTTCAGTCTTTGCTTGAGCGTGTGGAGCTGGGTCGTGCTCTGGGGCGGTGCTCCATTGATGGGGACGCTGATGGGGAAGCTCTTAGAGGAACGTGCAGTGGTGCGTTGTCACCTCGCCTCATATGGTTGGAGTATCTAGCTCTATGATCGTGTTTTAGGTTACTTTGAATCTGCTAAGTACCCGCTTGGGACCCTTTGGATCATTGCTTCTTTCCGTCGTTACGGCATCGGTATCAGGCGCAGACCATACGGTTGCATCCCATCGTCTAAGATCATGATTTCTTCACTTGACATTTGCGAAGGAGTTAATTGACTACCCGATGTGGTTCTACTCTGTTTTACCGTCCATCAACTGGTACTGATGACTGATTTTGAAGTCGAATGGATGTCTAAAGGCAAGATTCTCACCACCAGTAACTTGAGGCGATATAGTGGCTAACCCTTCGCTCAATTGAGAGAAGGTGATGTTAAAACCAACTCTAAATTTGCCGAATTATTTTTTTTTCATGCTTAGGTCCACCTGTAAGTTGCGAAATTTGGAAAACAGACTCACTCAAAACTTCACTTGCGTCAGATCTCATCAAAGCGGATGGTATGGCGCAACACAATTTACCAATTTTTTCGGATAAAAAATTCCGAATTATAAGTCTGAAATTGTAAACAACTGCATCTGATTATTAATTTTGCTCTCCATCCTAGGAAATAAAGGTCAAGGAGGTAACTATTAATGCTGATCCTAATACTTACTTTACTCAGCAGACGTAATTAATTTGAGAAACACACTAAAGGCTTTAATAACATTGCAAACTTTAAAAAGACAATATTGGTATTGAAGTGACAATCTTTGGTAAATTACCGTAACTCTAACGCCTCTGACATGTTCAAAACCACCGTAAATGTAATTGATTGATGTTGAGATACTTTCTACCCTAATATTCTAATTAGTTTTAGTATCCAAACGCTTTTAAAAAAGTGTAAATTAATCGGCGTGTTAAATGTTTAGGACCAGTGTCTGCTTATTTATTCGTATTACAAACAAGTCTTAGTGGCTCGACCCCCGTGCGGCTATTTCGGTTTGCGAACGTGTCGGGTTGGCCGCGGATTCTAAATCTGGTCAGTAGAACGCTCTTGTGTGTATATTTGTTTTGCTATGGATTCTATGGAGAGCGCCTACACACCATCAGAGGCCAAACCTTATGACGATGGGCCATGCGCCATTGAAAACATCCACAACAAGGCCCACGACATTTTCCCCATTCCCTTCACTGGGATAAAGTTGTTGATTAACAGAGGCCTTTCACCTCATTTCCAGGTCAGTCATTCGTTAACACTTAGTAGTGGTGAAAGCGCTGGCTATCGTTTTGGTGCTACTTATGCAGGCCACAATAAAATCTCCGAAAATGAGGCGTTCCCCGTTCTTATGGGTGAACTTCAACCTAACGGTCAACTTCAGGCTCAAATCGTTGATCAACTCTCGCCTATGTGTCGTGTTCGCTACCTGGCTCAGATTCAGAAGTGCACAATGGCTGGTCAACAGATTTCCGGGGAATTGCGTAGGGAAAAATGGCAATTTGGCGTCACTCTAATCAACCCGGATCTGAATCGCGGTCAGATGATGCTAGCGGTAGATACCATGCGCAAGATGTCAAATCGATTTTACATGGGCTCCATGTTCTTCTACCACCTCTCATCCCAGCTACCCGGAGGTCAAGATGGCGTCTGGAGTCTCGGAGGTAAATATGTCTCCGATTTTTGGCAGTTTGCTGTTACCGCCCGGCCCTATCAACTGGCCTTTCATTCCAGTTTCCATCTAAAAGTTAACGAAAATCTTCAACTGGCTGCTGAGCTGGAATCAAACTACCAACAGCAATCAAACATCTCCACCATCGGTTATCAGTATGACCTTCCGAAGTCGAACGTCACCTTCAGAGCGCAGCTCGATTCCAATTGGAATATTGCAGCCATGTTGGAAAAACGCCTTATTCCCTTCCCCTTAACCTTCACGCTCACTGCTCTGGGAAATAGCATAGCCTCAAAGTACGAAGTGGGAGTCGGCTTAACAGTCGTCTAATTTTCCTTTTCCCTTCCCTAGGCGCCTGTCTTTTCTTTCACAGTAGCACCTTCTCAAAGACAGCTTGCACGGCGTGCTGTTCTCCCTAATTGAGCGACCACCCACCACCATTTTCTGTAAATAGCGTCTTCTTTGCTCCCTTGGTCGGAGTTTTGTATGGCTTTCGTTTATATAGCTTGTACACCAGTGGTGGTGATATCCTCGGCGGGTTCGCTGTGTCAATTAAAAATTGAGGTTTTAAGAGAGGTCTTTGTATTTTTCTTTCACAGGGGGGTCATTTTGGTTTTGTGCTAATTCGTTTCTCAATTTTTGTTCATTGGCAAGGTCTTTTTGAGTAGTTATCAGAGTTGCTCGTGAATTTATTCCCCGTAAACTGTAGCCTGCCTGTCTGTTGTTGGATTGCCTCCTGGATGTTTCCCGCTGGGTAGTGGGTGTTCTGAATGCCCTTAAGTTGAACTAGTTTTGCGAATGCTGGTGTGGTTGCATATGCTGCCAGGCAAGTGATAATTCACACACTATTATTCCCGTGGGAGAATTGTATCCTGCCTTCACGTTGCACTCGATTATCTGCAATGCCAACGGGAGAGTTATTTTGTGTGATACGTGTCAATGGGTTAGTGACCTGCTGTGTTTTTCGATCATTTTAGATAGCAACTGGGCCTAGGTGTCGGAATTTCAATTGCTTTTGCCTACTTAAATCTCCCCTCGTTAATGGACCATTACCGTGGTAAAAAGTTCATGCACTGCTTAATTGCTTCGATATGTGACGGTGCTGATTTCGATTAGCCCCATTAGGGAATTCTAGAAAAGTCTACCATAAGGATTTGGAGTGGTTGAATTTTCTACTTCCTCGATGCTAATAACTGCTCTTCATCACCCCTCCCGCAGGAGTTTATTCGGAGTCTCTTCTCCACTAGGTTATTGTTTGTATCTGAGGAGTGTCATCTCACTTGCTAAATAACTCTTTGCGTCAATCTAGCGATGCAGTATTCGTTATTGTACTCAGCACCATTTCCCTCTACTTCTCCATTCCCATGGCACTAAACGTCGGCTGAAACTTACCTGTCAGAGCAGAAGCTAGCTCCTCGTCAGATTTGGGCGATAAACCGCTCAGAGATAGGCGTATGGATTAAAGTACTTGGAGGTTAAGGTGGGGTTTTGGCAACAGCTAAAGGTCGAAAGTTAGCTTAATAAATTACCATGACTACCCGATATGAAACAGCTCTTGAGAAACAACTGGAACAGCAGGAACAAGTTGGAAGAAAGTCGAATTCCACAACGTGATGCCTCATTCTACAACCCCTTCTCAAAACAATGTCGTTAGGATGGAAGTACTAAAGGCGGTCACTGCTGTATCCTCAACCTCCTTATTCCCTTGGTACCTCTCCGGGAGGTAAGTGGAAAGTTTTTGCCCTCAACATTGATCAGTGATGTGATCATATCCACCAATCAGTCTAGACAGTTGGAGGGGAAAAGGGTGAAAGTGGCTCTAGGCTAGGCCATTTGCTTCCGGAAGCAAATCGCTTTGTAGAAACAGACGTCTCAATTTAGTATATTTAAATTTGTACTCTATAATACGGTACAAACTTATTTGATCACTTTATAGTGCGAATAGATTTGATACCGCCTGGTCGTCATCCACTTTGTGATTGTAAGGGAGGGCTGCATTTTCCCCATAGCTTCATCATGCCGCTTTTACGTGTTTATGGAGTCCTACTGTCTTAACAATCCCCTTCCCGTCTTGCCGAAGTGATAGCTGTAAAATAGACGATTTAAACTTCTTTCCAAAAGGTTCAAATTTTCTCCCTCAAAAAGCACTGGACACAGGATTTTTTTATCACAATGGCTTGTAGCACTCCGAGTCTTTTGGAGAATTCGTAAGGCTACCAGTCTCTGCCGAAGGTCATGCCACAGATTGGAGGTACAACCGGCGTAGCTAATCACACAGTTAAAAGAAGTATTAAACCACCACAAGTCTTTCTCAAACTCTATGGGGAATTTCTTAGACCTTGAAACACTCCACATGTGTGAAGATTAACCGTGGATCACCAATGTCATGGTTTCAATAATGACTTAAGTGTCGCAGGGCTAGAGTAGACTGCGAAGGGAGGAGAGGAGACACGAACACAGGTAGACAAATCCATGTTGTGCTCTACGCTGAACCACTCTGCTCAACTTCCATGCATGCGTTTGGCCGGATGCATCTGTGGACCGCCTGCTCCTCATCTCGCCTTTTCCCACTCCGCCTACGTGGGCTCAGACAAAAACCGGTCAAGTGATTAACTAGCTAGTTTGCCATTTGTTTGGCCTTATCTGTGGTCAGCCGCATACGTCAACATGTAGATGCACACAAGGTTGTAACCTGCTGCCCTACTACAGCCACGGTGACAACCGACCATCATTGAGGTGCACAATTTCTACGTGTCAGTCAGTTGTCAGTACATTTTAGTTCCTTATTTATCATGTAGGAGATAAAGGTAATTTTATTAGAAAATTTTAGAGCTATTACCGCTTTTGTCTTTGCAAAATCCACGTCTTTTGAGCTCTTTAGAACAATTTTTTTGGCATCTTACTTTCAAGTCTCAAAGTTTGTGGAAATTCCTTTTAACGGTTTACACTATTCTCTAAAATGGCGCTACTTGGTATTACTATAAATGTGGGAGGCATGTTAATTGGCATAAATATATGGCTAACTTCAACCCCTCCATATGTGTCAACTTACCATCTATTAATGGTGCCCTGCCATTATGGCCAAGATGGTTCTACTGAATAAGTTTAAGTAGTTGTGTTTAACCATTTATCATTCGGGATACACTTTCTATCTTCAATCAGATTTGACAAATTAATTGCACAGTATGTTTCTCTACAGGTCTTTTTATAATTTTATTTAACTTTGGCCTCTACGATAAGTTGTCACGTAAAAGTCAATAGAAGGAGGATTACCATTCGAGGTCAATGAGGTCAAATGTATGCGATTAGGGTGAAATCGCATGTGGAAGCTTCAACGCTTCCATGCCTACACAAAAGTGTAGTTTATATTTCTCTTTACCGCCAGAACGCAAGGTTATTGGGATTCTCCTTTATAAAAGACGTCCAGGGACTAGAAGCGATAAACTTAGCCTCAGTCACTACCGCTTTTTATCATTGTTGTTGACCAATTGTCTATCCTCTTTCGCGTATAATAACTTGATTGTTTAATTCCATTACCAAGGGTGGAGGATAATTGCTACCTTGAGAAATGCGAGATGAACAATAGCATTCTGAAAATGACAGGGACTATGTAAATGATTAATAGCCATTTTTAGTTATGAGCCAACTGTGAATGTGAGGTGAGAGAGTGAACAGTTCAGCCTACAAAGAAGGGCAATTTTGCACCGTGTTTGAAAAAATAATGGGTGAGTTCTTTGTTCAAATGTGACCCCAGTAAAGCAACTTTGCTGGCAATTTAATCTCGATAAAAGAAACATAAAACACATCAAGAATAAAGCTGAGCTTTAAAATCTCGCATTGGCGTTATTTCAATCCCTATACGATAAGCGAGAAAGTCAAATGTGATTGCAACTGATTGACGGTGTTGTAGATATGCCTAAGTTGCTGCTGTGAATCCCATACATGAATGAAAAACGAACGAATCTAGGTGTCTGTGCCTATCCTCACCAATGCGCAAATTAGCCATTTACCCTTCTGGAACACAAAGCTTAGATGTCATGCACCCCAATGATTATTGGATGGCACTGTGATAAATGGCACCCGCCGTGGCTGTAGTATGGCAACAGGTTACATATTTGTGTGCATGTACGTGTCTACGTGTGCGAGTGACTACGGATAAAAGCAAAACCGCTTAACCGATTTTTGTTTGAGCCCACATAGGTAGAATTCAAAAGAGGCTAGATTAAAAAACCAACCCACTCACTCACCCACCCGCCTACATACACGCACGTACGGAGTCTTCCCCACATTCAACTCTGGTTTTGCAGCGCCACTCTGGTGTGCACCTTCTCTTCAACTTTAAGCAATGTATGGATGCTTATTCAGGGGAACACCTCTCCTCCTGTGAAACAGTTTTGTTACCATGTGGTAAACTTCTTCGTTCAAAATTAAGATATGACTTATGGGGTTTTTCAGTAGCAAGTTCTTGAGAAAAATTTAAATTTTGAACTATTGAAAACCGCCATGATTAAAACGGATCTCTCAGGTCTACTCTAAAGTCTTAGTAAGACGCACCAATACGAAAGAAGTTGTACCATCATCGCATCCAAAATAGCGCGTATTCAGGAGAGGCTTTCCTGGCCGGGAAAGCCATATCTGCAGCGTCCAGGCCCTTCTGCGCTTCGGTGATGCATCGCTCTCTCTACTAGGATGGAAATTTGAGGCTCCAAAGTATTGCTTTGCGTCAACTGACGAATGTATAATATAAACATTCTATGCCCTTCAAAATCTTGGTGACAAATATCTATCACGCATAGTCTACTTAATTCCATGGGCCCTATACAAAAAGGTAATTAAGTAGTGTTTCTTTGTTGCCTTCAGGCATCTGCCTTAGTCTTCTTTATTCACCATTGTAAGAACCTTTCCAGAGCATAGATTTTACAAAAAAAATTCTGCTAACTTAAACTCAATAGGAAACGTTTAAAACAGAGGAAAAAATTATTTATAAATGGTCGGTTTTTTAAGTGGACAAAGGCTGAGACGTGGATTGTGAATAATGCTGACTGAAGCGAACCTGAAGGTGCCTGACTCAATCCAACATGTGGTCAATTGGAGGCAGAATATCCATAAATAAAGATAAAGAGCGGTAGATCTTCTTAGCAAATTATAAAGAGGATTTGCCATAAATTGACGGACTTAATCACCACGTACGGTCTGCGATTTAGTGTGTCACCTCTAAGTAATGCACTACCAACGCAATTTGACACTATCGAATAAAGTTAAAATACTGCATATGCACTTATAACTTACTTAAATGTTGCAGAATAAGTTTATTGTCCCCAAACAAAAGG